GGTCCTAGAAGACCTCCAAGGTCCCTTCCAACTCTTATTCTGTAAACTGTATTTTGTTACATTCCGATGTGACAATGGGTGTGGGTATCCCATTAGCAAAGACAAATTGTGTGTGTGTGTGTTGCATTTGTGCTGATAAATAAATAAAGGGAGACTAGTATAGATCTATTCCAAGCTATTTAGCTCTCATCAGCTAGCCATACCCTGAGTGGGGTTTGAACCTGAGCTGTATTTTACATGTTAGGCAGTTGTATTAGCCACTAAGCCACAAGCTCTCCTCCCTTATCCGCTCACTTATTTATTTATCAGCACAAATGCAACAGAAAAATGGTTTCCTGCCTGGAAGGCTCCTAGGGTGGAGCTGAAAGGCAAAAGGGAAGCAGTTTGCTCCTTCCCATATTTGGGTATACTAGGTGCTTTGACATAACACACAAACACACACACACAACATGCAGCAACACATGATAGCAACCTGATTGCTTGCAAAGAATGGTAAACAAGCACAGAGATACAGAGAATGTGCCATTGAGCTGATTAATTTGAGGGGACTAAAGTTATCTCTAAAAGGACCGCACACACATGCCTCTTGTTTTCCTGTTCATAAATTTAATAGCTGCTGCTCTGGAGCATTAAGGGAGCATTAAGCATTACCTAATAGTGTTGCTCAAAACTTGCTATTGCTTGGGTTGTTGAGGCCTCCTCCTTCAAAAAGAGAAATCTTATTAAATGTTTAGGTATAGCCTCCTTTACTCCTTTACCTAAATAGTTAATGTTGGGACTATGAACCATCCATGTGGTTTCCATGACCACAGTATCGAAGGGGGAAGAAGAGGGGATCGGTAACACCATATGAATCACAGTGCCATTGCACAAAAGATGCAAATTATCTACTCCATATCCCTTGTGTCATGTTGTGAATGATGCATATTATATCATTTGTGCTATTAAAGTAATGGCATCATGATGTGTATGACTTTATCCTGACTTCTTCCAGATGTTTATGGTTATGGCCTTTTTCTGGGCTCCCCCCCCCCACAGTTCTTAGTGGTGATATCCTATTTCTTTACTAATCATATCCAAATCTCCTTGGCTTTTTTCAAGATCAACCAAGATTGATTGGACGGTGCTACTTGCTGAGCTACTTGACATGTTATTAAGGACTTAGAAAATTGGGAATAATATAATTTTAGATATATTTTTTTTATAATACTATTTTTATAATACTAGAGCCGAGGTGGCACAGTGGTTAGAATGCAGTACTGCAGGTTAATTCAGCTAACTGCTAGCTGCAGTTCAGCAGTTCAGATCTCACCGGCTCAAGGTTGACTCCACCTTCCATCCTTCCAAGGTGGGTAAAATGAGGACCCAGATTGTTGGGGGCAATAGGCTGATTCTGTAAACCGCTTAAAGAGGGATGTAAAAGCACTATGAAGCAGTACATAAATCTAAGTGCCATTGCTACTGCTAGTGCTATTTTACTCCTTGGGAATTCTTGAGATCTGTGAATAGCAACCCCATGTGAATAACTGCAAAACTGCAATTGGCAGTTTTTCTGTAAGGGAAGTGTATTGGCCCTGCACTGAATCTTTCCTTCTGGTATGGTCATTGGGTCCCCCTGCACAAGAAGGAAAATGGGAGAGCTTCCTTTTGATATTCCACCTTGTGCTGTGGTGGTGCAGTGCTTAGAATGCAGTACTGCAGCTAATTCTGCTGACTGCCGGCTGATTGCAATTTGGCAGTTCGAGTCTCACTGGCTCAAGGTTGACTCAGCCTTCCAGCCTTCCGAGGTGGATAAAATGAGGACCCAGATCATTGGGGGCAATATGCTGACTCTGTAAACCGCTTAGAGAGGGCTGGTAAACACTGTGACACGATATATAAGTCTTAAGTATTATTGCTATTGCTATCGTAACAAATGCCAGAATTACAATTGTCCATAGAGGAGAAGGAGAATGATTCTCTGTTGCTTTTGTATCTTGGGTGAACCATAAGATGTTCCTGAATTAATTTCTATTCTGTTCCGGTGTCATATATTATTTAGCATCAAATCTGATTCTGAACTCCTAGATTAATTCAAACAGCTGCCTATAACAGCACAACACTGTTTTGGTTGGATTTGCATACGGCACTTCACCCATATGCCTTTTTTATTTTGTATATTCAGTGACTGGTGATTGTGGTTTCTAAACCCTGGCATATAGTTTAGCATTATTACCAATCCAGTCAATTGTGGCTTATTTAATGAATCAAATTAAGCAAGCTGTAGCTTAGAAAAATAAGCGAACCAGGCCAGAATCATTTTGCAGTGTATGATTCTGTTGGAAGGAATTGACTTCATTCTGTTCCTTTTTTTTACTCTGTCCTTGCAATCAAAAAGAAAATCAGTTTCACCCCCTTCCTATCAGCCCACCTTCAAAATGATGAATGAGTTGTTTCTTTTTCAGAAGCTGAGATTGCAAACCATTAAGGCCAAACTTCTTGGCAAATAGCCAGCAAGCAAAAAGTCCTTTTTGGGTGTCGCTCAAGCTGTTGTCGCAAGAATTGTGCGGTACCCGTTTGGAAGTGGGTCACTGATTTGCGGCCTCATTGGGTCAGAATAATATATTGTAAGAGCTGGTTTCCCTTTGTCCTGTCTTTGTCTGCTTCAGGGATGACCTTGACCCGAAAATGATGGATAAAGCAGCTGTAAGGTAGATGGCAGCATATGGGTTACAATAATAGGGAGAAAAGTGCAGATTTTTTCCTGCACCAGCCTTCATTAAGCAGGCATCCTCTGGCCATGATGAACTGTGAGTCCCATCATTTTCAGCCATTATAATAAAAGACATTTGAAGGGCACCAGTTTGAAGAAGGCTGGGCTATACCTTAGTTAATACCTGCATTTAATTTTCCTTGGCTATACAGGAGGTACCATAAGGTATATAGAATACCTGAGAGCCATATTCCCAACATATTTTAGGGCACCAGGGTGGAGTAGGTTGAAGTAGGGTTTCCACTATTCTCTTGTTGTTTTTCTTTTCCAAGCCTCTCTTATTCTGCGTGTTGTTGTTGCTGGACATAAGATTTGTTTTGCGCTGCAAAAAAATTGAGGGGGGGGGATGTCTCTGACTCGTACGTTTTTTTTTATCCGTCTATGTCTCTCTTTTGTTTGGCTTCAACTCATTATGCATATTGACATAATAATTTTGAGGTTCCCTATGAGAAATAATCTCTATAAGTGGAAAAATGTTAAAGAGCAGATCTAAGAGCTGTAAGAGCAGATCTAAAAGCTGTTTCTTCTGGGTGTCCCGGTATGTTTTAATTTTTAAAAAGGAATCTAAGTAAGCAGTCCTTTATGCAGAATCACAGTTTGTAGCCAAAAAAGGCATGTTCTTCTGACTTGCTTCCAGAAGTTCTGGATGCTCCAACACTGGAAGCTTTTAAGAAGATGTTGGACAGCCATTTGTCTGAAATGGTATAAGATCTCATGCTTGTGCAGTTGAACTAGAAAATCTCCAAGGTCCCTGGCAACTCTTTTGTTCTGTTATGCTATTACAATAACACGAGAAAAAGAATATCTAAATAAGGTATTTCTGATTTTCTTTGCAGCAGTTACAAAAGCAGTTATCACTACTATCACCCTTCCAAATTACAGTGTGGCCCAGACCACCTATCTAGAAAGGAATTGAATTGAATAGAATAGGATAGAATAGAATAGGATAGAATAGAATAGGAATAGGGTGTCTTGTTTAATAGGGGAACTCAACAAACAACAAAAACAGGATGATTCCGGTCCAAAATTTGGGTTTATCTGTGTATAAAATCTACATTATGAGATATGTAAATCAAAACTGATTTTTAATAATATGGACTGAACTTACATAAATAAACAATTCCATTCCATGATTTATATTTTATCGATCATGTGAACCTTTTTAGCTCAGATTCAATAGTGATTCTTAGTCCATTGTGATATATCAGATTATTCATAACTTATCATTGATATTTTAGAAAGTAATAATCTCAATTACATTTTAAAATGTGAATATTTAGCAAATGGTAAAGATTTTTTTTAATTTCGCATCGGTTTTTGTTCAGGGTGTGGCTCTACCATGTATTTTTTCTTAGGGGTAATTAGTAAAGATGCCAAAACTAACTGGTTTGATTAGAGACAATGGACTAGACAGCTTTATTGGAGACTGGAAGCCATTTGTGAACTTTCTAAATGTTAAGCACAATAACAGATGGCTGACAGGGGGATTTGAAGATTAGTGTAATATTTGGGTTAACCTGTTGCATGTTTCTTTTTTTCTATATATATTATGATGCTGGGTCAATGTGATTGTTAGATATATTTTCTCATCTGGAATATTTGTTTATTTTTGTCAAATAAAGATGGGAAAGCTTATAATTATTTGTAGATCCGTAATATAAGGGGAGGAAAACCTATCCGTTTTTTCTATTTTTCAGCTTCCAGCTGGGATGGATTCTTTATGTTCAATGTTAAATATATTTGATATTCGGATTTTTCCTCCCCTGCTACTTTTTTTCTTTTTCTTCACTGTTAGTATTGGATGTTTGTTTTTCTGTTGCTTCATTTTCTATTTCATTATTGTTTACAAAAATAAATATATTAAAAATATTTTTTCTTTGGGGTGATTTCGACTTAACGTGTTGAAAGAAATAGAGACAAAAGAAATGGTGCGTCTGTTTTGATCTTCCCTCCACAAACACCACTAGAAAGCTATTGGTCCCTGAACTGTCAGATACCACGACGTGGTGTGGACAAGACAGCCACGTTGGGCAATCAGCATATATTCCTGCCCAACTTAACTCGTAGGAGTGTTGTGTGGATAAAATGTGTGATCTTGAGTTTAAAGAGAAAAGCTAGTATATAAATCTTGCAATTGGCTAATATAGGTAGTCCCCAACTTATAACTACAATTGAGCCCAAAATTTCTCTTGGTAAGTGAAGCATTTGTTGAATTTTCCCCATTTTATGACACGGTTGTTGAGAGAGACACTCTGGTTGTTAAGTTAGTAACACGGCTGTTAAGTGAATCTGGCTTTCCCATTGACTTTGCTTGTCAGGAGGTTACTAAAGGTGATTTACATGGGACACTGTGACTGTCATAAATATCAGTCAGTTGCCAAGCGCCTGAATTTTGATCACATGACCATGGGGATGCTGCAATGGTCATAAGTGTGAAAAAGGGTCATAAGTCACTTTTTTCAGTGTCGTTGGAACTTCGAATGGTCACTAAATGAACTGTTGTAAGTTGAGAATTACCTACATCAACCAATTACAAGATTTATGTAATGGGAAGACCCCCCATTAGAAGCAATGGGTGGAAACTAATCAAGGAGAGAAGCAACTTAGAACTGAGGAGAAATTTCCTGACAGTTCGAACAATTAATCAGTGGAACAGAAGTTGCCTCCAGAAGTTGTGAATGCTCCAACACTGGAAGTCTTTAAGAAGATGTTGGATAGCCATTTGTCTGGAGCGGTATAGGGTTTCCTGCCTAGACGGGGGTTGGACTAGAAGACCTCCAAGGTCCCTTCCAACTCTGCTATTGTATTGTATTGTATTGTATTAATAAAGCCAATGCATTTAAAAGTGCCCAGTAAAATGAATGGAATGTTATAAGAATAAAAGCACAGTTTCTTCAAAAGATATAAACGAGTTAGAATGTACACTCTGATATATATGACATATAAGATAAATTAACTTGATACAGAAAAATAATACATTACGATTCCGTAAAACATGGCCAATCAGGAGAATCTCCAATAATATGGTATATTTTTTAACTGTTACATTTTGCTATTTGTATTATTGAAGTACACCAGTTTGTGTATTAAATATTTATTCCTGCTCAGAGCATTTGCTGACATTTTTATTTTTCAATTCTTTTTGTGTTCCACTGCATTTTTGCCGCTGTGCATCATTTCCCTTCTTATAACCTTTTTGTCTCAGAACGTAACAGCACCTAGCTCAACTTTCTCTGCGTGCACAAGCTAAGCAGAGTCAGGTCTGGTTAGTAATTGGATGGGAGACATGAAAAGACAAGCAGGTCGGAAGTAAGCCTTGGAAGTTGAAAAACATCTCGGAAGGCAGCACTGCAAAATAATGACATAGCTCCAACAACAGCCAGCTTACCCCAAAGGCATCTTTGAATTAATTGATAGCAATTAAAAACAATGTTTGCAGCTTGTTAAGGCACCCACACTACACCTGATTCACACTTGAGCTGCTTTCTGAATTAACGTTTGCATAACATACCGATAAATACTGTACACACCAACAATATGGGTTTGCACAGCCCCGAAAAAGCCTAATCAAGATAAAAATACGTTGGGTGAGTGAAATCTGCCACCCCATTGGTCTCTTTGTTTTGTTATATATAGGCTTATTTTTGCAAATTTCACTTTTCGTACTCCTCACAGTTCAAAATAGAATGGAATAGAAATAGAATAGAGCAGAGCAGAATTCTTTATTTGCCAAGTGTGATTGGGCACACAAGAAATTTGTCTTTGGTGCATATGCTCTCAGTATACATAAAAAGACAAGATGCATTCCTCAAGAATCATAAGGTACAAAACTTAATGATAGTCATGGGGTACAAATAAGCAATCAGGAAACAATCAATATCAAGCCAGGAAAGCGCATCGGCAACCTTCAAAAAACCCACCTTTTAGTTTTTAAAGGGATTCTAAAAGCCCTTGAAAGGGGGCGGGAGGGGTGAGGTGGGGAGAAGAGGAGAGCGCAATCTGCCTCCCCCCCCCATGATGGCTCTTTATTCTACCCTAGTTTAAATCCGTTGTGTGTGGGAACACACCCTCCTGTCCGTGTGCATGAATGAATGAATGGGCGAAGGATTCCCGCCCTCCCGCCTGATTTCCGCTGCAGCGCCGGGGCCTGAGAACCCGAGAGACGAAAGCTTTAGAACGCTCCTCTGCTTCGACGAGGCTCGGCGCAAACAGCTGGAACGGCCCCTCCCCTCCCTTTCTCCTCTCCACGGGCCCGCGCGGCTCCTTCCCCTTTTGTTCCAGGCAAAGGCTGTTGAGTGTAGCCAGAAAGCGCCGGGGAGGCCAAAGCGTCGCTGAGGGGCTCTTTGCAAGCGGCAGCGGCAGAAACGGGACCCGCCAGTGTCCGCCGGATCTCCCCTCTTTCTCTTTCCCTGCTTTGGAGCCTCGTCGCCAAGCCAGCAAGCAAAGCCAGCAAGCAAAGCCCGAGCATCTTCGTTCCTGGCGGCATCCCTGCACCTTCTCGCCCGTCGCTCCGGCTGCCTTGGCGGATGCCGCTCCTTTTGCATCCGAAGGGAGTGGCAGGCGCCGGCGCGCCTTCCTTCACGGAGCAACGCCGCCGTCCTCTCTGTTAAAAGAGAGCCGGGCGCTTCGGGGGCCATGGCCTAAGTCAGGCCGGGGAAAAGGAGAAAGGAGTGGGGAAAAAAAGCCCAGCTTTTAGGGCACCGACCGGACTGGCCGGGTGGGTGGAAGGAAGGAAGGAAGGTAAGCTGGGAGGGGGCAGCTGGGCGGGTTTGCAAAGCTACAGGGGTGGGGAGGGGGATGGCGGAGGGTGGGGGAGGTGGGGAGAGAGAGGCATCCAGCAACAAAGGAGGGGGGAGGATGATGGTGAGGTGGGGGGGGCATGGAGGGGTGCAAAAGGAGTCTCAAAATGGGGAGTGGGGGGTGATTATTAGGTTCTGGGGTCCACAATTTTGGAGGGTCCTACCTAACGCCCCTTCCCCTGACAGCAAATGTCACAGAGGGGATGCGATGTTGGTTGGTGTGTGTGTGTGTGTTTGTTTGTTTGTTTATTTTGCAAAGCGTATATTTTATATAAGAGCACAGATAAAAGTATAAACCTGATTTTGAATGCATGAAAAGGATACGAATAAAAAGGGACATTAGGGACAGGGATGGTAGATAGGCATGTTGGTGCACTTATGCACGCCCCTTACAGTGTATCTGTATACAGTGTATGTGTGTGAAGACACACCGGCTTTTGGGGGGAAGAAAGGGATGGGTGGGACCGATGGTGCCCCCCTCCCACTAGAGAGTTCAATGGCTGCCCTTCCCCCCCCCCAACTCGCTCAGTGTTGTGTATCCTTGTGTCTGAGGAGGTAAGGTTTGGGGGGGGGGGATGGCTGGCACCTGGCCATGATTGAATGAAGCTTCAGCCAGCAACTCAGCCCACTTCTGAGCATGGGGTGAGGAAGAGGATGTCATGTGGCCAGTAGCTGGCTGCAGTTTCTGTGGGGCCAAATCCAGGTTTTGAGTCAGAAAGATTTGAGGTGGGGAGGGGGGAAGAGGAAGGATTCTGTGCACAACCTTCTTTGAGTGAAAACACACCTCCTCTAACCGCCAGCTGGCCTTGTGCTTGGTGTGTTTATCTACTCGTGATGGGGTATATTTGGGTAGATGGGAGTGGAGCAGGGAAGGATGCTTTAGCCCAGGGGTCACCAACTGGTGGTCCGTGGACCACTGGTGGTCTGCTAGAAAAATTATTTGCTTTTTTTTATATTGCACTAAATACTATTTATCTTTTTAAAAAATCATACTAGTGGTCTGGGGGATTTGAAATTATGAATTTGGTGGTCCCTGAGGTCCTAAAGGTTGGTGACCCCTGCTTTAGCCTGCTTCCCCAAATGCATTCGGATATAAAATCTTTGAAGAGGTGGGTTCATTAGTTAAATTTCTTCTGAGACGAGAAGGGTAAGAATGCAGGAACGTGTTTAGAAAAGGAAAATAAAACAGTGGGATCTATTCCCCATCTTCCTGAAAATGTTTACTCACTTATGTAGAGGTACTTTGTGTTTGTAAGATGAGAGATTGGATAAGGATGCTTGTAAATAAATATTTGGAGGAATAGGGTAAATCATAGTTCAGTCATATTTGGGATGGGACTGAACTTTCCTTGCTGGCTTTCAGCAACAAGTAGAGAGAAGATATGATAACCCTCTGAGCATAGGCAGAATGCTTTCTTGTTATTGTTAGGAACCTGGAAGGCACATAATACAGGTAATCCTCAAGTTACAACCATTAACAACTATTCAAAGATACAATGGCACTGGGGAAAAAAGTGACTTACAACTCAGTCCTTGCACTTCTGCTAACTGTTGTGGCATCCCCAAAGTCCTTGACCAAAATTTGAGTGCTTAGCAACTAGCATGCATTTTCAAAGGTTGCACTATCTCAGGGTGATGTGATTGACATTTGCAACCTTTCTGACAAGCAACATCAATTCATGACCTGGATTCACTTAACGACTGCATGATTGACTTAACTGCAGTGATTTGCTTAATAACCATGGCAGAAAAGGTGCTAAAAATGGTCACAACTCATTTAACAACCACCTTGCTTAACAATTAAAATTCTGGTCCCAATTACTGTCATAAGTCGAGGACTATCTGTACGCGTATATTATAGTCACTTGAACAAGACTGGGTTGCCCTTGTCATGTGCTTCAATAAAAGTGGGGCTGTGTTGGAGATACTCTTTGCCCTGGGTGGTGCATAGATCGCATAAAATACAGCATGGGTGTATTGTTACTCTAGCCACAGTTGTAAAAACAGACCTGCGGAGTACAGATAGTCCTTGACTTACAGCAGTTCATTTAGTGACTGTTCAAAGTTACAACGGTACTGAAAAAAGTGGCATAACCATTTTTCACACGACCTTTGTAGCATCCCCATGATCATGTGATCAAAATTCAGATGCTTGGCAACTGGTTCAGACTTATGACCAAAGGTCATGTGATCACCCTTTGCAATCTTTTGACAAGCAAAGTCAATGGGGGCCAGATTCACTTAACAACCGTGTTACTAACTTATCAGCTGCAGTGATTCATTTAACAACTATGCTAAGAAAGGTCGTAAAATGGACTAAAACTCCCTTAACCAATATCTTACTTAACAACAGAAATGTTGGGCTCAATTGTGGTCGTAAGTCAAGGACTACCTGTACATGCCAAGAGATATTGAAGTCCATGGACCAATGTCATCCTGAAAGTTGGGGTGAACAAGATTGTTTTATTTTTTAAAAGTGCGCAACTTGAGAGCTAACTTCATTTTCCCTGGTTGTGACATTGCTCTGGGAAGGCCGTATCTTGAATCATGATGTTTCCCTTTATGAGTTTTCCAGCATGGTCCCTTGACCACTTGGTATGTTGGTGGGTTCAATTAACCATCTTGAAATTGCAAAAAAACTTCCTTGCATTTTTTTAAAATGAGCAACCAGCTCTCAGATCTCAGAGATGTGGGGTGCCTGTATATGTTTCTTTTAAGTTAAAAATAATAATAATAAAGGCATCAGGAGTGTGGCAGTTTGATGTGAAACTCCTTGTTGCAAACCCTGATCTGTGGATGGCACACTTTGAAGAATTTTGAAATGTTTTTCTACCTTTTCTTTTTAAAGTTATCCTATTTCTGGGGTTATTTAAAAAAAAGTTTGTTTGCTTTAGCCTCAAAATGATAGGACCGTGTGCTGCCAGTTTTTAGCAGATACGATCAAAACCCCATTCTAAATTTACTCAGTGTTTTCTTTGTTCCACAGACCCATCAAAACCTGGTTAGGCAAGATGAAGGGAACAAATTTAAGTACAGTCTGTTTTGACTTTCATCAGATATTTGAGCTGCCTTATGAAGCATTCATAGCCTGATTTAGCAGAACAGAATAACAAGAGTTGGAAGGGACCTTTGAGACCTTCTAGTCCAGGGGGTCAGCAAACTGCGGCTCCGGAGCCGCATGTGGCTCTTTCCTCCCTCTGCTGCGGCTCCATCACTGGTCGGCGCCACAATTTTGAGAGGAGCTTCCGGTGGTGGTGGTGGGGTGGGAGGAGGGAAGCACAGTGCACCAGGAGAAGACTCTATGGCAAGGGGAGGGTTTTCCAGTTGTCTCCACAATTGATAGGGCTTTCGGTTATGACAGGTAGAGGAAAAAGTATGCCGCGCTGGGAGGAGACTCTATGGTGGGGGAACTGAACTTCCGGTCAGCTGCAGAATTGAACAGGGGGCTTCCGGTTAGGACTTTTGTGCTCCCGGTGTTTTCTTTTCTGTGGGAAACGGGTCCAAATGGCTCTTTGAGTGCTTAAGTTTGCCGACCCCTGGTCTAGGCTAACATCAGCA